CGGACACGTCGTTCGTCACTTTGGAAGCAGTTCACCGACATGTTCATTGCCAATGTGGCCGATCGTGATTTTGTTTTTGCGCCTGCAGACGGACCTGTCAAGCCTCACGGTACGACGCCATGCAGCTCGCTTGGGAATCAGGCCCCGCCAAGATCGCGGCAGCTGCCATTGCCCTCATCGTCAACGGCCTGAACCTTCCTGGACAAGCAACACCTTCCACAGTGGAGCCTGACACCTGGCAGTTCTCCGAACAAGGCATCCACACCCAAGACCATCAAGGACGCAGCTCCCTTGCCTCCGACTCCTACGAAGACGGCGTGGGGGAAACCCTCAGCTACATCAACGGCTTCGTCGGCACGCTCAGCAACACCATCGAGGGAGAGCGATCCGGGCACACGGCCCAAGCACAAGGCAAAGGCCCCCAAGAGGAAGGAAGCAGAGCCAGAGCAAGCGGATTCCTACGTCACCAGCCCCTGAAGACAGGGCAAACCACTTGGCTCACTGGCTACTTGAGGAACGTCGCCAAGACCTACTTCCAGGAGAACCACGCCTACACGACCATGAAGTCCTTTGCGGATAAGATGAAACATGGCCCCAAGATCGAACTTCTCGAGATCTTTGCAGGTTCGGCTACCCTCTCCACATGAGCTGTACTACATGGTTTGAGCTCGCTGGAACCCATCGACAAGGAGATCAATGTGGACCTCTACGCAGCGGACGGCCGAGACTTTCTCTGGAACGCCATCTATAAGTTCCAACCGCTGTTGATCCACATCGCGTGGCCATGCAATGTTTGGAACCTCTTCATTAAGAACATGAACTACAGCTGGCGGCCGCAAGAACACGCAAGAACTTCAAGATCTACGTGATCAAGATCGCATCCTGATTAACATGATCGCCTATACCATTGAGGTCAAGAAATTGGACTACACCCCGTGAAGTCCGCGCTGAACCTCCCAGAGAACATGGTCACTCAGTACATATGCTGGAGCCTATGGCGCTGAGAACTTGGATCATCAGCCCATCATCAAGACACACCAATGGACAACCAACTCCAAGCAAAGATACAAGCTTACTACATGCACCCTGTCACCGACGAGCAGCAGTGGCGAAACATTCTTGATGAACTTAAACGGCGCTTCCAAAACAGCCATAAGAGACCGTTCAACCTGGCCCCATCCGATGACATCTACAAGCTCGTTGAAATTAAGTTGGCGCCCTGGAAGCTTGAGCGTGTCCAGGCTACATGGACACCAGCTGCTCAAAGATGGCTCACTGACATCCCCTTCACACACCGTGGAGGAGCTCTCATGACAGCCGAGGGCAAGATCATTTTGGAGCACGAAGACCTGTCGGCCATTGCCTACCCAAAGCAGCGCTACACGCAAGCCATGCGGGTTGGCGTGTTTTTCTTTGGAGATGCACCGGAGGACGAGATCGAAGAGCCTCCAGATGAAGAACATCATGAACCACCACATTCAAGCCATGGCCAAGCTCAACAACGAGTTGCCGGTATCAGCACAGGCATTTGGTTTGAAGGCGGCCCCAAGGAATTGAGCAAGGAACTGAAGCGATCTCTTGCTCGACTACATGTCAACATGGGCCACTCGCCAAAAGAGGAGCTCATCAGGATCTTGGCCGCCTCCGGAAGCCTCTCAAGCCGAGTTCTCGCTGGCTTGGATGCACTGCGATGCGGAAGCTGCATCTCCAGTGTGTACAGCCTCCACCGCAGCAAGTCAGTTTGGCGCTCGCCTACAAGCCGACATAGTGTTCATCATGAACACTGAGCCAGAACGTGGCAGTCCTGGGCATGGTCGATGAGTTCACCAACTACACTGTGGCTGCCACTCTGAAAGATCGACACCCTCCCAATATCCTGGAGCAAGTGCTGAACATGTGGTATCGGCCACTTGGCCTGCCTCACCACATCACAGTGGATCCCGACACTGCTTTTCTTGGCGCGATGGAAGACTGGCACCATCGCTATGGCATTGAGTATGACATCATACACGCTGAGGAGCATTGGAGGATTGGCAAAGGAACGAAGGAATGCCTTGATGCGTTCCCTGGTTGAACGACTGGTGGACCACCACGGCGTCACCACCAAGGAAGCCCTCGAAGCAATCATCGCCTCCACCTTCGCCCTCAACAGCTCCACATAGCTTCGGACGCTCGCCCTTCCAAGCTGTGTTCGGCAGGGTGCCGAGACCTTTGGGCGATTTGATCTCAGACGAGACTGCCCTGACTTTGACCATGGACAAGGACGAGCTCAAGCTGAAACCAGAGCTTCTTAGGGCTGAAGCTGTGACCGCACTGATGCAGCTCACAGCCTCCCAAGCAGTACGGGGGGATCTTCGAAAGACCCACAACCAGCAGGAGCTCTCACAGCTGCAGCCCGGCCAGACCGTGGCCTTCTGGCGCTCAAGACAGCGCAAGAAAGGCAGCTGTTCACTCGGTCGCTTTTGGGCCTTCGATCCAGACAAGAAGTCCTGCTGGATTCAAGTTGGCAAGACATCCGAGTTGGCAACAACCAAATTCGTTTGGCCACTGGATGGGAGAACTGGACACCCTCTGAAGAAAATGTTCGGCTGCTCAAAGATGCTTCACAAGGCCTCTGGGATGACAGCCGTGGAGAAGGCCCTGGAGATGAAGAGATGGCTCGGGCAGACGAGGAACTCCCCGATTTCCGCCCCATCCAGGAGCCAAGACTTCATGAACTACAACCGCTAGCGCCTTTGGCAGCGGCAGAAGCACAACCCTTGGACCTAGCAACAATTACCACAGGCAATCTCACCGGCACAACTTCATTCAGTACCTCAACACACTGAACAGACAATCACCCATACAACAGTACAGCAATAGCAAATGAACCAACAACAGAACCAAGCAAACACATACGTCGACCAACGACGCTACACAGTGAACGTCGATTCACCCACATACCAACAGTTTGGGAGCAACCCCAACTTCGGCGCAGTTCTACCAACACCGAGGAGCCGCTACAGATCACGAGCGCCAAGCAGAGCTCATCCAGCACCTGGTACACCAGAGATAGACTGGAACTGGAACCAAAAACAAAGACCAGCTGTGCAACGCACCACGAACGTGGTATTTGAAGGTCGACAACAAGGACCTCCTGTTTGCATCCTTCACTCGTCATTCCTTTGACAAGTGCTTCTACTACCACTTGAACGACAAGTAGCAATTGGACTGTGCACTCATCGTCCATGTTTCTGGTGGTATACTCCTCCCAGTTCAATGAGAGCATCTTCAAAGATCTCTTCAAGTGGGGATCAATCATGAAGGTGACAACCACCACGCCTGGCAAATATCGCGGCAAAGAGATCAGCTTGGAAGAGAAGAACGGCCGCTTCTCCTACCTCATCACCCACTGGAAGAGCGGTCGCACGCAGCGATCAGCTTGCAGCACTTTAGCTGCTGAAGCACATGCCGCCGATGAGGCGCGCTTTTTGTACCTACTTCTGCGCCGAGCTCTTCTACCAGATTCCGGCGTTCAAGGGGGTCATGAAATTCGAGATGAAGCAAGCCACGGACGCAAAGTCCCTCTACGATCTTCTGATCGCTGAGAACCCGGCGTCGTTGGAGAAGAGAAGCGTGGTGGCTGTGCGAAGCGTGCAGCAAACGATGCCGCCGCAAGCCATTCACTGGCTGCCAACCGGCATAATGCATGCCGACGGGCTTACAAACCTCGAAGCTGCAGCAGGCACTTGCTGCATGGTGCATGGTTCCATGGTGCCAGCTTCGTCAAGACACGAGCACCAAAGAGCCGTTGAAGGCCCCCGGAGCTGGTTCGATGTTGAACCCTTGCAGTTGATGGCATTTTCGTTCATCGAACGCTCCTTGGCCCGAAAACTTCGCACACGCACCCAGTTGGCCACCTGAGCCTACTTTTGTCCCTTTGAAAACATGTGCGGCGGCCGCCCTTTCGCTTTTTCGCTTTTGCAGGGAATTTGAAATCCATAGTGCATCGAGCACCCACTACTGTGAGATGCAGTTTGAGCAGCGCCTCGAAAAATTTTGGAGGTTGGAGCGGATCAAACGTGTAGGTTAGGAAAATCAAACGATGCACACTGGAGGACCAAAAAGAACCACTGTGAAACGCGTGCACTGGAAACGGTGATACACCGGAATGACGTCGACCCCCAGCCACCAGATGGGGCAGGACAACGGCGTTGGGTTGGGCAAAGCAGCTGGGCCCCCCGCCGGTGCAACAGATCATGAAAGATGCGGGGGCGCGAAAATGAACATGATCATCATGTGAGTGATGGGAGGGTCTGTATCATGTGAATGATGGCACTGGATGCTTGCTGGTCAGAAGATCTACTGTGTACATAAACATACACACCAGGTCAAATTGTTTTTTCATGTTCCGGCTCGGTAATGCAAGGCTGGTTAGCCGCATGAGCCAGCGAACCAGGGACATCATGCGCTGGGGGCCCCACCACCAAGGCAGCATGCGTGGGGGGCTCCACCACCAAGCTCCGTAGCATTCATGAAGAGTTTTACAGGAACTGGCGTAAAAGTTGGGCATTGTCCCAAAATCTCGAAAATAAGCCCTTGAAAATGGTAACCGCCGACATCCGTCGACATACTACAGAGAAAACCATAACTGCGGCCTTTGGTGTTCTTGTAAGTACGAATGTAAGACCGTGCGTTGCTGCATCTCACCTGCATCAACAAGAAGTACATGATACACACGCGCAACGGAAGTGACCAGAACTATCCTAGGTCAGCTAATCATTCCAAAATCCTCATGGGTGTTTCATAAACATGTGTGAGTAAGGAGACTAATTACAATTCTGAACGTTTTTTGATGTCTCACCAGAGCCTCGAACAGCAGACGTTTGGGTCCCGGACATGCACTCACATTGTGTGTGTGGGGTACGACCATCCTACGATCCTAGAATGGATTTAAGATTTTAAGTGGGCGGGGCTGCCCAAGGAAGATTTTTAGATTTAAAATATCACGCAGACATGATCTGACACTGGGCACCCCGTTTGAAACGCGAATAAATAAAAGGGCATGTTCTAGTTCATTCTGTGGAAGCTGCAAAAACTCCGGATTCTGAAACAACTACGTTTGCCGTTGCCAGCGTCAAGAATGCAAGGAAATTGTTTTGCAGAAGCAGCTGGCTCATAGGCACCACCAATATTCAGGTTTCATTGCAATACGTGATGCACGGGAAGATCCCAATTGCTCCAAAATTTTCCAGAGCGGGCAGCATTTCAGTTTCATGATGTTGCCGTGACTGTAGCCTGCAAACATGACGGCATGAGTTAGTGAGAGAGAGGTTTTCTATTTTTTGGCGCATTGGCCTCATGATCTTGGATGTGCGTTTGAGCACCCCGCTTGCAATTTGACAATTTTGTTTTTGCCGTTTACCAACACTTGGTTGAGGGTTGTTGGCGGGCAAAAGTGTTTGTGTTTGTGGGCGGTGAATTGTCAGGTTTGTATTATACTAGTCCCAGGTGATTTGGGAGCATTCGACCACACACCCCGTAATCCGTCGGACTATCTCATTTGCCGAAAGCCTACTCCTGGCGGAGACCACAGGAGATGATAGAATTGGTCATGGGCTGAAAGAGCTTTGCTGATGCCAGCATATGCCGGGCGTTGCTCATTCATGGCTAGGGACTATATTTTATTTCGGTTTTTGATTGACATTCAGCACATTGTCCTATCTCATCGGCTGAAAGCTATCATTGACGGCTAACGTACGCCACGGTATCGCACATGAGATGGGGTTGCAATTTTTTTGTGCCGCCAGGATCTCATCTGCGCATTTTTTGTACCCTATTTCGTGACCTATCTCATTTGTCTGTCCCGTTTTTTTTGAGCTGTCGTAAAGTCCTAACTCGCTTCCGGGTAAATACTTCTTGTGAAATTGTGTTGATGCGCGCCCTTACCGTGTTTTTGACAATGGCTTCAGTCGTTTGCAATTTCGTGCTGCCGGCTTGAAAGTAGAATAAAACTGTGCTGCCGCGCCCTACCCTAGGATACCCTAGGCCCAATCCTCCACAAAACCCACTGGGCACTGCATCCTCGGTCTCGGTTCGTGTTCTTCATGATTTTCAGCCTTCCAAGGTGCAATCGGCAAGGCCACAGAAGTGCAGCTCAACACACTGCGACGGAAATTGGGAGTTGGCTGCGATCCTTGCTATGATTATTCTGGACGGCAGGAGGTGCAGAGGAGTGCCGAGGACAATGAAGAAAACATTTGTTCCCCGGAAGACTTGCACCAAGACAGAGTTCTTGGGTTTTCTGATTTGCTGAGGCAGGTGAACATGGCCAAGTCAGAAACACTTGAAATGCGCCATGTTTCAGAAGACATTCCGCACAAAGCCGGATATGACCGCAAGAACCATGAAGAAAAGCGTCCATCAAGTGCATTCCGAAGTTGCGGCCGTGATCTGCAGAAACATTGCCAAAAGGCCCAAGGGCCAACAGTTGGCTCATATAGCCCAAAAGCCGAATGTTTGGCAAGTTTGGGCAGGGTAAAACATCCAACACCAAAAGTGCCGGATTTCAAGGCCTATTTGTCTCATTTAACATCACCCGCGCCCTATGAAAACATAGAGCATGAAGATCAGTTGCTCAGTGTGGACAATCAAGGCTCCATGCGCCAGATGACCTTTGTGAACATGGCCAAGCAGACCCCAAGGCCCGCGATGAGCACTCTGCCGCCAAATGACCCGGAAGCTCTTGACCCTAAAGGTGTGCTGGACGGGCATCTGAAGTGTGCTCGGTTTGGCCATTTCTACCGTCAACCCTGTTTTGAGTTTGGAAAGTTTGGTCGAAGAGAGCTGGCTGCACCGGGGGGGAATGCAAGTCTTGGAGATTATGACGTCAAACTTCATACAGTAAAGCCTGGCATTCGGTGTCATAGTTTCAGTTCTATTCCCAGGGCAGATTTTGCGTCAAAGCGCATCACAGATCATCTACCAGATCGTTCTTTGGCACGGGACTGCGGATGCTTGACTAGGTTTGGAAAACTAGTTTCACCTCCTGTGACAGTACCTAAATTTGATAGGCCTAAGAGGCCTCAAAAGCCTGTACCCATGATAGCCGAACATAAAACTGATGAAGGCACACTGGGCGTCGAACGTCAGTGGGCCTGGCCATCAAGGGAGGCGCCCAAGGCGCTAGGCATCAGTGTGAACCATGAGAGCAACACATTTGGACAAGGATCCCTAGCCCAACTTCGCCCGACTTCAGCTCCAGCTCGTTGACGCTGCTGTCGGCGCACCAAGTTTGTGACCACTTGTTTCACCTTTTGTTCCACCTGAAGAATGGCGACAAATCTCCAACATCTTCAGACAGCTTTGTGTACAAATGCGCCAATTCCAAGTTCATTGCTGCCCACCTTTGAAACCTCATGGGTGGCGAGAATGGGAACTGCCTAAACCAGCAGTAGTGATGCAAGACACAATTGCTGGGTCACTGTTCTCGCTGATTGCTAGCGGGGAAATGTTAAAAAATCGTTGTTGAGCGGCTGAGAGTCCAGAGGCATTGTTTCTTGCAGCTTCACCCAAGTATGAAAGAAACGCTTTCAAATGTCCCATAGTTTGCAACATGCGGCATTTTTGCATCAGAGCTAGTGCAAAGAAGAGGGAGGCCTGCGTCACTGTGCGGCAGGTCGAGGTTTTCCTCTCAGCACGGTGCTAGGTAAAAAATCTTCCCGGGGCTGAGGGATGGGCGAGTTGAGGCTTCCAATGGCGACAGGCTGGTGGCATAAGTGAGTCCGCAAAGACTGCATTGGGCTCGGGTTTCGGCTTGGGAATGGACAGAATGCAAACATGTAGCCTTCCAAAACCAGCTGTGCGATCATTCGAGGTCTGAAAGATGCAGTCTGCAGGGTCGCCTGACCTAGTCGCATCAGGTTTGTGGTGGGCGGTGCGGCTCTTGCTTTGCCAGGTATCCTGACCAAGAGGATCCTAGCGAGGCAACTCTTCGTAAGCTGGGCAGGCTGCTTGGGGTCTTGGGGTGAAAGGGTGCGAAAATGTCCAGTTTGAATCCGAACATGTTGTCCAGGATTGTGTAGACTGGGACGTAGTAGGCTGTGTGGAGAAATGATGAGAAATGACAAGTTTGTATATATAAATTTGTGTTTGTAAAATGATTCATATACTGTAGTAGTATACTGCAATACTTTAATGGTACTATTATTATTCATGTGTGATCAATTGTGATCATGATTCTTTAAATGCCGGAAGAGATGGCTGCTCAAATGTATCTTCGCATAGATGCGCACATGTCATCGAAAGCGCTGTGGAACACTAGAGGGTGGGAGGGAGACGCTGGCAAAGGGAGGCCAGCGGGGAGAGAAACAGGGAGACGGGGAGGCAACATTGATCGATCCCGGAGGCACCCACTCCTGGAAAAGGAAACCTTTGAAAAGCTACAGCGCAATGATGTCGTGGAGACCAGGCACGACCTGCCAGCTTGACAAGCATGTGTATAAAATGTGAAACGTGTCTATTTGTAAATATGTGTAAAATATATATATATGTATACACACCAAAAGTTGCTAGCTGGTGAGGCCGCACATTCTTCACTTTGGCGGCTTCCAGATCCACAAGGACCTACAATACAAGCTTGCAAGTTTCAAAGTCCTCAGTTTCGATGTTGCCACTGTGTTGGTCATCATGCTTTGCTCGATTGGTGACGGGCTCCAGTCAACCCTTTTCATCAGGGTTGGCTAGGATAACTCAGGAGCACACTCAGTTGCTCAAACTTGTGAATATCTCACCTTCATCACTGCGAGTCTCCATTATTGGCTGCGCTCTTGTGCTTCTATTGTTTTGTACATTTGTGCGCCATCACCACCTGTTTGAGGTCCAGCCACCCAATGGTTCAAGATCAGGTTTGACAAGAAAGGGCTTTTGGCGTACGGCCCCCAGAGTGTCGTTTTGGCTGCATGCCTCATGCCGGCAAGAATGTTTGAAGAGTGAAAGTGAAATTATTTTGCGCCACATTGGTTCCAGTCTCGGCAGCTGCCGATTTCATAGCCATTCGTGCGATTTGCTACTCAACAATTTTTGGTGGTTTCCGGTTTAAATGTTGGATTTGTGTGGCTTGCACGGAAACCCACGGAAACCTGGCCAGGTCACACGTGCCCACTTGCCAGAAGTCCTAGGTGGACAATAATCAAACCCCAGAGCATCATGTTGTCTCCATGGACCCCGCATCCCGAATCTCACTGTTACAAGTTCAGCATATGTTTTGGGTACTTTGCTTGGGGGTTGATTAGTTTCGTCCATTCGGCCCTAGTCTCCAGAAACCCTGTCAATGAGTCAACATTTAGCTTTGGGGGATGGGGGGAAGTGGATGATGGTGTATGTGGCAAAGGGTTTGAATAGTTGGTCCATCTACGATAGGTCGACCTTTTGTCAAAATGTTATCCCCCTTGAATTAAGCTCTACAGAATGATGGCCTTAAGACCCTAAATCAGCAGGTCATTTTGTAGAGAACACCCTTTTGCCCTCACACCCCGTCATTTTGTAGAGACCAGGCCCAGCAGTTTGTAGAGAATTGCGTTTTTTAAGTTTTTCGACGTGGTCAAAAATACACCGCGCCCGTCATTTTAAAAATACTTTATGCTACTTTCATTTTGTAGACAGAGTCTTTGATTTGAGCACATGCATTTTGTAGAGAGGAGAAGAAAATTGATTGGAGCATACGCATGTTGTAGAGGGAGAGAAAATAAACATGTTGTAGAGGTTCGTGATTCAATCAACATCATCTTGTAGAGAATGCATGCTGATGTCATTTTGTAGAGATGTGGAAGAGGCATGTTGTACAATTCTCTTGCGCAATGCATTTTGTAGTGATCTCAGTCGAGTGTTGAAGTAGCATTTTGTAGAGGAGGTTGTTAAAACGCCTGATGTCATTTTGTAGAGATTTTTGGGTTATTCGGGTCGAATCATCCACTGCATTTTGTAGAGAATTTAGGCCGAATCATCCACAGCAATTTGTAGAGTTGTTTGCTGATTTTGATAGATTTTAGTGCTATTTCATGCTATTTCAATCTGTCTATATACTTGATTCTATTTGACTGTGGAAAAGCATGGCCCAACCCAATAGCAATGGCCTCCAGCCTCATAGCAATGGCCTCCAACCTAATAGCACTGAATAGCAAAGGCCTCCAGGCTAATAGCAATGGCCTTCAACCTGAGGCTTGTTTTTGCGTCTGAATAGTCTACAAAATGGGGTCGTTCCCGTCATTTTGTAGAACTTTATTTTTTGGGCTCTACGAAGTTGATCAAAATGGCACCTCAGAAAGAAGTCAGTCTACAAAATGCGGGCTCGACCTTAGCACTCTTTAGTCTATGTGGTGCCTGTCAACTTCTCCAAAAGCTCCAAGTCAATGCACAGATTTTTTCAGATGATGTTCAGCTACAAGGCAGGGATGCAAATGAAGGCAAACATGTGCATACTTGTACATATATAACTTGAAGGTTCCCGTGTAAAGTGCACCTCATATGTATAGGCACAGTTCATGAACATTGTACTTTTGGCTCAAGTGATGAAAAGGTCCGCAGCCGCTGCCACTTCGCGGTCACGACGGATTTTAACTTTGACTTGTTGCTTGGTGTTGTTTGTGTTGGTGTTCCGTTTTTCCAACGGTTCAAGTGGTTATCAGCCGTATCGGCTTTTGATTGTTTTTCGGTTTCTGTTACAACACAACAACATCGTTTATTAGTGTGGTTGCGGGGTCCACAGAAACCCCGTGCATGTCAAGTCGGCGTCCTCGAGAGCCTTCCCGTTCACCACCGCGTCGACCGTGGCGGCCTCCTGAGCCGTCAGGGCCGCCACCAAGGAGGCCACCAACGCCTCCGGACCCTCCGAGGCGTGGCATTCGGGGAGGAGCTGCCGCACGGCGACGCAGGGAAGCGTACATTGTCAATTCGGGAGGCGATCGAGCGACGATCCCGATTGTTCACGCTGGCGGTCAGAGAAGGCCACTTGGAGCTTCTAGGTTTTGGGAGCCGAGTGCAAGCGAGGATTCGGGTGAGGAGACTGACGAAGTTGAGATTGTTGCATTTACAGCGGCAGTTGATTTGACTTCGTTGCAGGCTGAGCATCTTGTGCCGCGTTCAAGGCTCTACAATCCGTACGTCTTCGATCATTCGCCCGGCTCGTCAAGTTCGGCTGCGGCCCCAAGGCCTGTTCCGAGTCGAGCGGATTCGAGTGTTGTTGACACGCCTGCCGGAAATCGGCCTTACGACATCCTCAAGTACTACCACCCGGCGCCTGGAGTCGTTCTTCACCCGTGGTCGCGAGTTGACATTGTTTACAGAGAGGCCTTGACTTTTCCGTCTTCAGCCAAGTTTTACGTGTGGGCGAACGGTGATACGTTGAGGCTGGCTGCAGAAAGGCCGAATCACTGGGGCTCTGATCCGGTGATTGCATTGGACTACCATCAGGTCCTTGACGTTGATCGGAGTGTCAATCCTCCGGATCGTGTGGATCATATTGGTAATCTGCCTGCGGGCCACGTTGCGGCAGTTCGTCGCTTGCGAAGGGAGATTGAAGAGGTCGGCTTGCGTTGCCGAGTGAAGATCATTGTTTTGTCGCACATTCACGACAGTGTGGTGAACGAGAGGAACTTGATCACTGCAGTACAACAGAGTTCATTGTCGGTTGATTGTGTGATCATCACTCGTGAAAGGACGGGCCCAGGTGGAAAGTTTGAGGTGCTGAGATCGTTGACTCGTGGTCAGGCTGTGATTTTAGACGACAACGTTGAGGTGCTGCGTGAGTTCAGTGCAGCGAGCCTCATCGCTATTCAGATTCGCAAGCCTCGGGGGAGCGATTTTTGACGAAGAGCAAAGGTCTTGGAGCTTTTCAGCACCTTGGTTGGTGGATCGTTTGGTGACTTTCGTGCATCACCATTCGAATCCAGTTGACGAGGAAGAGTGAAGTTGCATCGAAGCTGCTCCGGTCCGGCTGCTTTGAGCGCCGCGGAGCCTCGTTCGTTAGGCCAGTTCCCGAAAAGAGCCTGTGCCAATTGTGCATTCGTTCCCGCCAAAAAGAAAGAAGGGATTGGGAGAGTTTGAATAGTTGGCCAGTGAACCATGTCAGAAGAGCAATCTTCATCGTTGAATGTCAGTTCAGATACTACTGTTGGTGGTTTGGCAGTTGCAGTTCGGAGCAGCTCCCAATCCTCCCATGGTTCCGGAAATTCAAGAGGGAAGGAGATCAAAACCTCCAAAGAGATCTTTGAGCAGAGTCATCAAAAACATGCCCAAAGGTACTCAGTCCCAGGTTCAAGCAGAGGGGTCATCAGTGGTTGAACTATCCATTCCTGCGCTCACTGACCTTCGGTCTTTGCCTTTGTCCAGTGGGTTGCTCCAGCGGTCGGTTGGTCCATCCGAGTTCCAGGGTACCGGAGAGGAAGATGAAGTCATGCCTAATCAAACTAGCTTGACACAAGAATTGCACCTTCATGACGCCCGGTCTTTTAACACGATCCAGGTGGCATATGTTGGTATCGATCATGCAGAGTTCGGTCGTGTTGTAGCTGAGTCTCAACGACTGATCGGGGAAGCGGACTCTAGGGCTTCGCACTTCGAAGGTGTCGCTCAACAAGTCTTCCAGGAAGCCACAGCTCACATCGGTTACCTGACATCCCTGGTCGAAGAACTCCGTAGTCAGAACGAAATGCTCCAAACAGGTCACACCGAGAAAGATGTCATGATCACCAGCTTGCATGAAGCGGTCCAAGAGGTAAAGCAAACCCTTGAGAACCAGATCAAATTCAACCAGTCCATGTTTGAGGGTCAACTTCGCAAAGCGAAGGACGAGATCGACCGTTTGTCCGACCTCAACCAAAAGTCCCTCAACCTTTTAGGCTATAAAGATTCAGAAATCCAGCGTCTTTGCCAAGAGTCTTCGTCTCGACAAGATCGCATCTCGTCGCTGGAGGCCCGACTGGCTGCTTCAAGCGCCGCGGTCATCCAGTCGCCTGCGCCTGCTTTCGTTCCGAAGCCTGTGCCTGATGCATCTTCGCCCAAGGACACTGAAGGAGGCAACAGAATGTTGGAGTCGATTATGGAAGCTGTTCAGTCACTCAGATCCAGAATGTTGACACTTGAATCAAGCCGAAACAGCACGGATCTAAATCGTGAGCCTCGACCTTTGTTCGATCGTTCGCATGATGCAGTTGTCCATTCATCTTCATCTCCTGTAGGACCTTCTCGTGGACTTCGTGTTGGCAAAGGCTTTCCCGGAGGTCCGCCCGATCCAATCGATCAGGGGGGTGAAGGGTCGGACGACGATGAAGAGGAGTTGATTTCAGAATCGCCCTCACATGCTTCAGAAAGGGAGATTGTTGATTCCAGAGCTTTGTTGCACACCAAACTGGAAGTGGTCCCTCAGAGTGCTGCAGACTTTAGAGCTTGGAAGACAAACTTCTTTCTGATGCTTGGCCGCTTGGACATCTCGTCGAATGAATACCTTTCCAAGTGGGCTGCAACGGCTTTCGAGGTAGGTCAGGAGAAAGAATGCCAGAGTTCATCAGGCCTGATCCCAAGGTTTGATAGGTGGCTTGCATCTGAGCTTCTCAAGAATGTGCGGTCAAGCCCTGAGTTGTTGTTCAAAGTTCAGGGGTATGTTGAGCGTTGCACTCGTCAGTCCACAGTCCCTCGGGGTAGGATGATCTTGTACATGATTGCTCGACATTTCGATCTCGATCGATCGTACTCGTGGTTCATTGCTCACATCGCAAAGCATCTTCCAGGTGGAACTCAATGGTTTTTCGTTGAAAGATCTCCAGGAGTTTAGCGGTACAGTCATGAAGACCTTGAACTCCATTGACCCTGCCGACTGGCCGAATCAGAGAATGTTAGGTGAATGGTTGTTCCATCGGTTGAGAAATGTTCGAAA